ATTCTCAGCAGGTTTTTTCTTCTACATATTAAAGTTGTTAAACATCTGAGTGGTGCACTACTGCTACTAGTGGTGAGAAAGTGTATTACACCTTATTGAAAATCAATGCGGCCCAAAGTTAAAAGCTGTTGTTCTTTTGAGGCCCTCATGGTGGCGCTCACGGCCCACAATTGGGCCRCGGCCCACAGGTTAAGAATCTCTGGTCTAAAATATTATCTGCAGACCTCCAGGACAGTTTTGTGCAGACCCATCATCACAGTTTGAGAGCTGGGAGACTGATGAAGTGGATTCAACTCAATCTTTGGGAATCCTTGGTACAAAGCCCTGCAACGACATTTGTTATTTGGCACTTCATAAATAAACTACATTTAATTTCCATGACTTTAAACAGACAGTTTTTATGTACAGTCCAAATTTTGATATAAAATAAACCATAAATATAATATTTCCRTCTCATTTCATTGGAGAACGTTGGTCTCAGGTTTCTCAGTAAATGAGACAAAAACAAAACCAGTTTGAATGAAATGTTACTCTGGGTTATGACACACATTTAGCTTAATTCTGTGTAGATTTGAGCAGATTTGTTTGTAGAACTCTTTAAACATCTGACCTGGAAACCTAATGTTTTATATTGAGTTATCCTTTGTCTGTAATTCTACATCATTTTGACCTGAAAGCAGAMAGGATATGAACAGCTGTGCAGATTGTGCAGATTGTTCCGGTAATGCTTGGATTAAGGATTTATTGTGTTTCAGCTGATACTTACAGAGATTCATTGTCCTCTGTGGCAGATAATCTTCAGTTGTGTTAGCATGATCTGACACACTGAACCATGGCAGAGTGTGTGTGATGAGCCTGGTTTGTGTGTCCACAGTATGGCAGAAGTCCWCTGCACCTGGCTGCCTACAAAGGCCACACTGAGGTTGTGCGTATCCTGCTGAGAGCTGGCTGCAGCCTGGACCTCCAGGATGATGTAAGTAGCCTGAAGTGTCCGTCGTCCACATCGCCCTCAGCTTGAACTGATGGTTAGCTGCTGCTTCTGCTTTTGTTTTCAGATTCTTTTAAATTGGAATTACCATTTCAGCTGCAAACTATCTGTATCACATAAATGACTGTAGCCAATGGCCTCTAGCGGCCTTGAGTGGGACCCTCTAGACTGCCCACTTGTGGGTCTGCCTGTTGGATGCAAGCCCCCCTTCCACACAGACAGTGATAAAGCAGATCCAAGGCAGTGTGGAGTTAACTCTCTGTGGTCACTGAGTCCTGCGACTGGCTGCAGCACGTCTTCCAGGACTTGTGGGAGCAGATTAAAGCAGGAGGAGGAGGAGGAGGAGGAGGTGGTGGCAGGAAGAAGACAGTGGAGAGAGGCTGGAGGACCACAGAAAGTGAAGGAGGTTAGCTAAGCCACCCCCTCCCCCATTCCTTTCTGCCCTGAACAAACTGTTCCTCCCCTCGCTGGTGTTATTTTGGCTTGAGGTGAAACTTTCCTTTTCCTTTTCTCCTCTCTTTCCCAGTGAAGTGATGAGAGTTCAGAGCTGTCGTGTCAGGTGTTCCCAGCTAACGTCTAATCTGATCTTTGTCTTCCATTTATCCCTCAGCACACAGGGGCTCAGCATTCCTCTGCATTCTCTGCTCTGTTGCCTGACAACCAAGAAATGGAAGAAAACCTCTGTGGGGGTGTTTTTATCTATGAATTCATGACAGCAGAAAGCCCCGCC